TCCAGGGCTTTTGTATCATAGTGACATTCTCAGAAGGGCTAGATACAAGAGCCGTAAAGCCAGTAAAAAAACAGTGACATTTTTTTTTTGGAGTTTATGGCCTGGTATCTAGACCTTTAGGCCAAGTCTTAAGTATTTTTATTCGGTTTATTGTAATTTCCCCACTCCTTCATAGTATACTGCTTCACAATATGTTGATGCGTCACATTGTGCAGTTCTTGGGAGATTTTGGCGGCAACTTGATCCAGCAGACAGCTGATAGTTGGCGATGGTATCTAAAGGTGCCTATGCAAACAAACAGCTTATCTTGAGAATCCATCACCATCAGAGCACTTGTTTCACTGTTTCCACTAATAGTTCACATGCGTAGACACTTAATACACAAAATCGCAACACTTTTACATATCAAAGTCCACTTCAAACCATTATTTAAACAATAATACAGGAGCAGCAAACCGCCGCCGGTCAATTTCCCGCCAAAAACCCCAACAGTGACATTTTATTTTAGCTAGTGTTGGCATAACATTAAATGGAATTGTTACATAGTACTTTGATTGAGATAATGTATTATTGTAGGAAATTCTTTGTAAGAGACTTATTCTTAGCCATATTACTTTTATTTTTATTATTACTGGTAGTACAGTTATTACTAATAATAACTTAATATAAAAATATTTTGTGTGTTATGTTGGTAGTCTTACAAAGTGTATACGAAAATAGTATGAATATACTAAATGGCAACATTTGAATAGAGTAAAATGATTTAAGTCATTTGATATTCCTAAAGATGTTTGTTTTTTTTCTGTGGCTTTAATTTAAATACATTTTTATTTGAAAAGTCATAGAAAAATAATAAAACTCATTTTATATATAACTTATTTCTAGACGCTATAATTTTTGTCAACTATTTTACTGCCATTGCTCTTTTAATGGTTGTTTTCCCGATGTCAAATTATTTTGTCTTGGTAGTACTTATTTTATTAAAATAAAAATTATTAGGATGCAAAAATGGCAGATTTACACTCGAGATAAACAAAACTCGAATGTGATCTCAAACCAATAGCAATATCTCCCAAGTAGGTCGGGCGTACAGACTAGCTTATACCGTATTACTATAATAAAGTCTGAAAAAAATTCGCTGTATGTAACGTAGTGTTACCTACCGCTATGATATGCTACCGCGCGCTGCCTACACAGTGAAGGGCCACTAATAAATGTTCAGAACATGAACTCTCAAGCGTAGTGATACGACATAAACTAGTAAATCTAAAATTGTCTTAGAAATCAGTGTACATACATATTGATAACCTCTCCTTTTTGGGAGTCGTTTAAAATAGACTATGTTTGAGTCTAAAATAACATCTGGTTAATGTTTGGGTTTAAAGTGACATTTGGTTAGCAAAGGCGTTCTTATTAAATTATTAATAAGATATTAATCTTGACGTTGTAAATAGAAAAACTTTTATTCTATACTCTAAAACGTAGACATAGTCAATAAACAAAGCAATTAAAATAAAATAGTTGCGTTAAAATGGCGTCGGCGAATCGTGATTAGCTGATAACTCCGTATTAGTTTTAAATAGGCACCCATTGTTAATATTATGTTAATACTTAGAGTATTAACATAATATTAACTTAAAGTAGTTAAAACACCTACTTATAATAAAATTATAAGTAGGTGTATATATATATATAAACATTTGAGTTTTACACAGAGCGTTGCGATTAACGTTTTAAAAACAAATAGAAAATAAATATTTTTAAAAGAAAATTGTGATTTTTTTCCCCACTACTAGCAACATTTGCATTATGATACCTTAGGTAAGTATTTTTTTAGTTTTACGTACTTATAATGAATTAAATATATAAACTTGTATGTAAAATGCAGTACCATCACTTCTTTTATGTTTATCATCACTGTTGTGACAATATTTTACAACAAAAACGGTAATTTTTACAATTTTTCGCGAGCTCTTCTCCGTAAGACATGACGTTGCGCATTGACGCGTCGCTGAGTGAACTTACGCGGTTTCGCGTTATGCCTCCTCTACACTACTCGCGAAGTAGATCGAAGTCGGACGAGGCGAATTGTGTAGAGAGGTACTTCGATTCACTTCGTCCAACCTCGCTTCGCCTCGGGCGACTTCCGATCGCTGTCGGTTTTTTGCGCCAGAGTTAAAGAACTTCGCGAAGTACCCCGAAGTTACACGAAGTGTCTCACTACACTACTCGGCGTACGCCAGTTATGAATGTCTTTTTTTTTCAAATAAATATTAAATATGTAACTTTCTACATAATTATTTATTTAGTTAACGCATTGACGTCGTACTGTTCACACAATTAGGTACCTATAGCAGCTGCCTCTTGAACATCATTCATGTTAACGGTGCGGGAGACTCAAGACGACTTAGCTCTTCGCGAAGTAGCACGAGTGTGTGGTCACGTTCTTCGGACTGCGATCGACTTCGACGAGCACTTCGTCGAAGTTTCTTCTCGAGTAGTGTAGAGGAAGCATTAGTTTAACTTGCTTCACTTTCTGTGCGCGTACTAGTATTCTATGCGTGATAATTCTATGCAATGGACCATTATAATAATAATAATAATAATAATTTTATTTCAGACCATGGTCCATATATTGTTAGTAATGTTGTTAGTAACAATATTGGCTTAAAACTATGTTAGTATTGTAAGTAATTACATATTATTTTAATCCTATGACTACGCCCACCCAGTGCTTCTGTATGGGACAGTCATATCTTACAGATATCGCTCTCAGGATGCTGTTATTACTGTTTCGTAAGCGTTGCAAGAGTGAGGCTGTCTTCTTCCGAATGATCGCTGAAAAAGTGTCAGCACGCGCTTGTGCAAACATACCTGATGCACTGCAATGCCACGGCAGCCGCAACAACATCCTGAAAGCGTTATTATACTGTACGCGCAGAGCATTGTAAGCTCGACGCGTATATGTAACTCACAGGGCACTAGAGTAAAATGATTGACAAAACGCTTTGAAAAGCGTTATTTTAACTGTATCTGTACATCTAGTGAACCTGCGAGCAAGCATATTGGCTCTCACTGTCAACGCCCTGCGCTCCCTTTCTATGTCCTCGTCATCCCGGAGGTCTGCTGTCACAATGTGACCTAAATATTTAAAACTATCCACCAGCTTTAGAGGCACCCCATCGAGGACTACTGGAGGCACACGGGAGGGCTGATGTTTGCCTGCTTTGAACATAAGAAGTTGGCTTTTGTTAGCGTTATATTTAAGCCCATGTGCCTCCGCATATGTCACACATATTGACAATAAAGTCCTCAGCCAACAGACGTGTCTGTCATATAAACATTTTGAAGAATTTTATAAATATCCAAGAAATCGACTGTGCAAATTAGAAATTCCTGTACTTTATTTGCCTGGTAACATCTTAATTTCATTATTATTATCTTAATTTTATGTTTATTAAAAAATATTATTTAAAATCACAAGCATTCTTGTTTTGTCTCTCTCAAATGATCCACGACTTTTTGTGCCACAAGGGCGGCGCTACTAGAAAGTGAGGTATAATATTTGACAGATTTCATAGTGGGGAATTCCTGTATAGGACAGTTACACAGAGTACCTTAATATATACTGAAAGACAGTTACTATACTCTTTGGGGGAAGTTAATTTGGTCGGAAAATGTAAAAGTTAATGTTTCTCTGTGTAGTATTAACTATATTTTAAATTAATAACATTAAAAATAAATAAATCAAACCACAGTTATTAATAAAAGTAGAACAATTTAAATAAAGTTAAAAATGTGCAATAAATTAAATAGCAAACTACAGACGCATTGTTTTGTGTATTAATATAATAATCTAGAAACTGATAAACTTTTATTAAAAAACAACTTCTCAATTAAATTACATTGTGTAACAATAAAATTTACCTCAGTGTCAACTATCATCATTAATTAATATTACTAAATGTGAAACGGAGACAGCACTTCATTTGAATTTTTTTTATAGAATAAGAGGGTGACAAACAAGCACACAGTCCACCTGATGGTAAGTGGTTGCTGTGGCCTAGACGTGGGTCGTTACGTCATTTTCAAGAAACGTAACGAAACCAGTGACTTGGTCGGCGTCACCTGTTTCAAAACTAGTGATTTTTGTAACTGGCTATTTTTATTTGGCTACTGTGATTATTTGCATAAATACCACCAAGAACTATACAGTTACACACGAAACGTAAATAAATTTAATCACTATCTAAGTGTTTCTAGCTATACAGTTAAATCAATAAATTAACTTCCCTTCATACTTTAGTCAGGCTTAGAACTGACTGCATTAAATGTATTTATGATTGTTTTGTATTTACTATGAAACTAAGATTTTCATAAAATTATTAATGCATAGATATTTACAAGTTAATTTGATTGTATATACAATGATTATTGATATTCACAGTTTATTTAAACTTGTACAATCCACACTAATTATATTTATATAATATAATAACAAAGAAACGTTACAGTAAATGTACATAAAACACCAAAATAACATATAAATGTAAATTTTTACAAGATAGTATTCAAAATTATAAACAAGTACAACGATGAACTAAAACAAACTAAATTATTTTACTTAATACTTCGCTTTCCGGAATTGCAAACCGTTGAAATTATTTACAAACAAAGATCACTCTATTTATATTGTCTATATCTATAGTCTTACGTATGAAAATTAAACGTACAATAATACTGTTACATACGCTGTTTTGTTTATTGTTGTATGCCACATGTGCGCTTTGCGCTTGACCGACCGACAGTCGACTCTCGCAACAATCACAGTTAACAGTAATAACGCATTTACAAAAATCACTACTTGTAATATGACTCGAAACTAGTGATTCGGTTACATGCCGCGTAGCCAGTTATTGTAACTAGTGACGTGAAATAACGCCCACGTCTACTGTGGCCCATAGACATCTACATCTATCTTCGTTTGGGAATTAAAATACAGATGCGTTGTCAGCTGTGAGGACTAAGATGGAATTCCAGTAATAAGGGTCTCCGCTTCTTTACACTCACCATATGAAACACAGCAGCATTAAGCTGCTACTTTACACTGGTATTCTGTGAGAGTGTGGTCCTTCCCTGGTCAAGCAGACTGATTCGTGCTACAACTATACTATTAATAATGCTGCAACATGGCTCTACCACATAAAAGAAGTAGAAAGGGAAGAATATTAGATAGAGATCAATAATTATTTATTTTTAACTTAAGTATAAATAGTTAATGCCTAGTTTTGAATATGCAACTGCCATGTGTGAAGTCTTGGATTCAATTTTCAGGTTGGGCAGTGTTAATTTTTTTATGTATAGTAGAATAGATGTGAATGTGTGATATTGCACCTACACAGGTATAATTAACCCCCAACAAAAACATAGGTTCTATTTGTCTATGACATTGTAGCTCCCAAATGGATGAACAGATTTAGAATCAGTTTTTTCTGCATGAAAGATGACTTGATCAATAGTGTTTTAAACTATGATTCAGAAAACCTGTTCAGCTGTTTACATCAAAGAGTATAGTAATATATAAGGAATAGAAGGTTTACATATTATCATTAGCTCTTGTCTATTTTGTATCTGAGGTTTTTTAAATTTTTTATTTAGGGTTATTTCTAAATCAGTGTGATGGGTGTCTTGAGCCTTAATTTAAAATGTAAATTTTTTTCTAGCTCAAGCAGTTCCTGGTGTTGAAATAACAGCACCTGCCCCACCTTTAATATTGAATGTTCAAGAGTCTCAATCTGATATGCAAATGAGAGGTTAGTACCCTATTCATTAAGTGAGCTAATAGCTGAAAAGTTAAAAAAATGTTACTTGTTAGAGTCATAACCTAAATTTAGTTATTAAAAGTACACTTTTGGTAAAATTCTATTTAAAACACAGAATATCTTATGATTATCTTTTTACATGTAGTAAAAATGTTTAATTTTCAGATCAACTGCTTACTGAATCTGTTACCATGCCTCACCAGCCTTCTACATCTGGTGTTCAGGAGACTCTACTGGATATTGAGATAAGAGGTTTGTATCTTCCTCATGAAATAAGCTATGAATACCCAGCAAAAAAGTTAAAATTGTGTTAATTTCTTTGAGTCCTAACGTGAATTGGTTTAATAAAAGTAGCTACTTATATAAATGCTTTGGCAAATTTAATATACAGAATACCAAAATATTGTCTTTTTTTAAATATATAATAAAAAATATATTTTCAGAACAACTGCGTGCTGAATCTGTAACCATGCCTGCCCATGCCGTACCTTCAACATGTTGTGCTCAAGAAACTCTACTGGATATTGAGATGAGAGGTATGTATCTTATTTATTAAATAAATTATAAATACCCAGCAATACCCAAAAAACACTCAGAATAGTTAAAATTATTTTAATTCTCATATAAATTGTTTTATCAAAAGCATGTTATGTAAATGCTTTTGGCTAAATTATATCTTTTTATTTAGAATATCAAAACATTATCATTTTACTATTTCCTATGATTTTGTTACTATTTGAATTTTTTTGCCATAACAAATGTTTAATTTACAGGACGTGAAGAACATGGTAAGCAGAAAGAACACAATAAACAGCATAAAAGAAAATCAACTAAACCAAAAGGTAGTTGTTTTTTTACAATAATATTATTTGATATCGATCTCACTGCCTATTAAACAAATTCCCAATAAAAATTTATTTTTATAATTTTTCCAATAAGTTCCACTATTTTGTTTATTCACTAAAGCTATATTTCTTTTTCTCAGGTCCTTATGTACCTTTGACAAAACTTAAACAATTTAATTCGATACTAAAGCAGCTAAAGAAATGTGAAGATAATAAGATGGTTTTGAAAAGAAAATATATTCTTGCAAAAAAAATGACGAGAACCACAGCATTTAGAATTGTATCATCAAAAATGTCAGCTACTGCTAAAATATTCTGCCAAATGCAAGCTTCTCAGAGTGGCAAGAAAAAACATGGCAGGCGTTTCACACTAGATGAAAAAATTTCAGCATTGTCGCTGTATAAGCCAGCGCCTAAGGCTTATCGCTTGCTAAGCAATTTATGCGTTTTGCCAAGCAAAAGGACACTGCAAAATTTATTGCATAACTTTGACTTAAATCCTGGAGTCAATGAGTTAATATTTGATAATCTGAAAAATAGAGTCTCAAAACTGCCTGACAATTACAAATATTGCTCATTATTGTTTGACGAGATGGCAATTGGAACAGGGCTTACTTATGACAAAAAAAAAAGATAAAATACTTGGATTTGTTGACAATGGAGAAAAAATTGAATGTGAATTTTGTGATCACGTGCTGGTTTTTATGATCAGAGGTATAGTAAAAAAATATAAGCAGCCTATAGCTTATTATTACTGCAGTGGAAGCACTAAGGCCGTTGAACTTAAGGTTTATATTAATAATATTGTAAAAAAAGTGCAGGAAACGGGTTTAAAAGTTGTGGCAACTATATGTGACCAGGGTACTTCCAATGTGGCAGCCATAACTATGTTAATAAAAGAGACAAGAAGTATATGTACGAAATGGAAAAATATACAGGGAAGGATTTTTCAAAGTTGGTAACGACAAAATTTTCCTCCTGTATGATCCACCTCACCTCATCAAAGGAATTAGGAATAATCTAATTACAAAAGATTTAAAATATACAATGAAAGGAAAAGAATGTACAGCAAAATGGTCCCACATTGTTCAATTATATAATAGGTGCCCAGGTTACAGAGGTGTCAAGCTAGTGCCTAAGCTGACTGCTCACCACATCCTACCACATTTAATCCCAAAGATGAGGGTGAAACACTGCACACAAGTGTTTAGTCAATCTGTTGGAGTGGGCCTTGCGTGTATGGCAGGTAAGCAGACTTTATTTACAATAATCTATACAAATAAATAAAATTGAAGTGTCTGTTTGTACTGTCAAAATTACTGCTTTTTACTAAATGTATATGAAAGTATATACGGTACTAATAACAAAAATACAATTTTTAAAGTTTTTGTCTGTATGTCTGTCCGTCTGTTTGTTCCGGCTAATCTCCGAAATGGCTGGACCGATTTTAACAGGATTTTCACTGGCAGATAGCTGGTGTCACAAGGAGTAACTTAGGCTACTTTTATTTTAGAAAAAGAATTGAGATTCCGCGCAAAAAAAAAAAAGTAAAACCCCAAATAACACACTGGCGACACGTGTACATATTCACTGCTGAACATTGGTCTTGTCATTACCATTTGCATCACCATTACCATTGCTTGATCACTCTAAATTATGACACAAGCTCTTATTGACCTTTTATGAAAACAATGCCTAGTAAGCCTAGGCCTTTGTCAGAAGTATAATATAAGCTTAGCTTATATTATACTCCTAGCTTATTTTGTAGAAATCAGCTGTTTTTTAAAATAATATACTAATCTTTGTTAATATATTTTTTTTTTTTCAGAATTGGGAGCTCTTGATAAGAGCAGTTATGAGACAGCGGATCTCCTATTATTTTTCGATGACCTATTTGACAGCGTGAATGGTAGTTTCAGCGAAATTATAGGAGGGAAAAAGTATCGTGCTGCAGTAACTCCAACTTCACCGCATCACAATTTGTGGAATTAAAGTATCCCAATCCTCAAAAGCATGAAATTTGTAAGCAGCCAGTCAAGGAGTAGTGCCATCTTTATCCAGTTGGATTAAAACAATAGAAAATTAAAAAAAAATGTAATTGTAATAAATCTTAAAGACAACAACACGGCAACAGAATGTGAGGATGAAGTAGACTACGCTCATTTGTATATAGACCCTATAAACACAGATGCACTATTAGCAAGTAAAACTCCAATGGATATAGAAAAAATGCGCAGCAATAGGTTATTGCAGTGGCTGGATAGCACAACTTGCCAAGAAACATGTGTTTAAAAAATGTATTACTTGCAGGCATGATTTGGAAGCAGAAGATTTATTAAATTTTCATAAATTTATAAAAATGAAAGAATATGAAAATAAAAGTGGTTGTGCTATCCAACTAGGGCATTGTCTGATTTCTTTGCCCAAGTTGAACACATTTCCATAGAAACATTAATATATTAAATTGATTATGACGGTTAACTTAAAAACTTTTTAACATGTTTATTACACAAAAATGATTTAACTGATTATTTAATTAATAAATCCACATTTTTTTTATAAACAATTGGTGCAAAGATGTAAACTAATGTCCTCACTGGAAAAATAACCTTTTGGGATGTCAATGACCCTATGAAGGAAAAAGCTCACAGACACTACTCTAAAAATAAAGGGAGAAAGAGGATAAGACAAAATAATGTCTCTGTAATAAATTCTACAAGATTAAATCTCTAAAAAGTATAAACTGCATTTTATTCTATGATTCCCAATTACATTTCAATCATCTATGTAGCTAAAATTGGGAATTTGTTAGTTTGGTGAAATTAGTGTCGAATGTATACAGCCAGTATTTATCACATGTTACTGACCTTTTTACAAATTTTCTAGTACTTTCGACATTAATTTTTGGGTATCTGACAACTAGACGGCGCTTCGTGTCGTTGATTAAAAAAAAAGAGAGCTGCCTGTCTATTCCCTATATAACATTGTAGTCTTTGATACTAACTAAAGCCACGCCCACTATGACGTCAGGATCTACTTAGAATCACAGTTGCACAGCAGTTGCTTATGCAGTCTCCCCTTTGTATTAACTTCATGCACAGAGTTGCCCCATTGCAACATGCATTTATATAATCAGTAGGACAATTTGAAGGGAATCGCATATAAAAGGAGAGGTAGAATATTTTATCGGTACTCGTGCGCAGTTTCCTCCTGCAGGGCTGGCATGGGCAGGAGACAATTTTATGCCCGGGGAAAGGAGGAAATGTTTATCCCCTCGCCGTTTTATACACCCTTCGAGCATGGGCACGCCGGTAGATCCACAGTAGATATAAAAAAAATTAAGTCTCAAGTCTATCTCCCATTTTATGAATATAAACTAAAACCCACGTGCAATGAACTACGATAAAATTGTCCCTTTCAAATGTCAAAAAGCACAATTCTTTATCTTTCATTTGGCTCCATGCTAGGGACGGGGGATATGTATTCGTTATGTCAAACGGGGATATATCTCCTGTGGATAAAATTTTTTTTGAGTCGGGGGATAAAACTTTTGTCACCAGCCCATGCTAGCCGTGCTAGACTTAGTGGTCGATTTATTTTTCACGTCTGTCCCTTTGGGTTGCATACTTTGACGTTATTTCCCGCTCCGCACACAGCAGCTCCTCCCGTCCTTGCCGCGCCGACCGCCATCATAACCTTACTATCGTGAATTTTTATATAAAAATGGTTATTGTGAGTTATCTTTAGAAGATACAGTCGCGAACATTTTTAGAAATTTTTAACAGAAGTAATTTAGTTATACATTATTTTCATGCAACTTTACCTATTGATGCAGAGGATGCTGTGAAAGCTCACAAGAGGCACTTATGTACATATAATGTCCCTATGTCCATCTGCAATGATGTATGAGACATTTATAAGTTGTGGTTTCTGTAGAGTACCCTCCGCATATATACAAACTTGAAATTTCGCACTCTTCTAATTAATATGCCGCTGAAAACGTTTTTGTAGAACCTTTTAAGAGGAACAATTCAGCTATACATTATTTTCGTCAAACTGTAACCATTGATGCAGCGCACGCTGTGGAAGCCCTCAGAGGCAGGACTTTTTCAGACTTTGTTGACAAATATCGTCAAAATTTTTAGTCATATTATAAATATATGCACACAATATATAGCCTATATCTATCTGGAATAATGTACCTTTCAAATGGTGAAATAAAGATTCAAATAGGTGCAATGGTTCCGGAGATTACCCTTCACATATTATATACAAACTCACAATTAATACAAAAATGAATAGAGGGGATTAAAAAAAGAGAAAATTATATTAATACTTTAATATTCTAATTTTCACCAGATCAAAGAACAAATTGGAATGATGGTACTTTTCGATATAATATATCTCCCTAAGATTTTCAGGGCACCTTTTCATAGTTTTCCAATAAATAACTCAAGGTGGATGTGCTTAGATTAATGCACTTTAGCTAATCCTCACTAAATTATCACAGAAAAGAAATACCGCCTTACAATAAATAAAAATGTCACATCCACATCTAGCATTTACTTGAACTTATGATGTACACAAGGAATTAATAAGAAATTAGCTTTGAAAAGCATGGAATATGTTTAAAATGTCAGACATGTATACATTATACACTCGTTCATACACACACAAATGCAGTTTTATTCCTATGAGGATTTGCTACTTAAAATTAATAAAGTCAATAATCATTAAATCTCTTGTGTCCACCTCCACCAGCTTGTCCATTGCCTCTGCCAAAATTACTTCCTCGTCTGAAGGAACCACCTCCACGTCCACTAGCATATCTGTTCCTATTCCACCCTCCACCTCCTCCACAACGGTCCGCCATTGTTTGTAGCTGTGGATTCACGGTCTAAAAATACAAATATATAATATTACTTTTTGGACTAAGAGAAATAAAATTTGTTACAACATAATATATGGAAAGATATCAATATGTAACAACTTTTGAGGATGGGATCCAGATAAGTACAAAATGGACACCGAAGGCATGAAGTTGTATTAATTTACCTCATACTTGCATTCATGTCACGCTATGAACAAACGTACCCATGCCAAAGGTATGAGGAACTTTTAAAGGATCAACAAAAACTATCACAATATCATATAATTACCTGATTAGCTTCTTGTAACACATTTACAAGATCTTTAGCTTGACGCGAGTTTGAAGGTGTAAAGAAGGCATATGATGTGCCTTTTGATTTTGAGCGCCCTGTTCTACCAATCCGGTGAATGTAATCCTCCGAAGAGTTAGGATAATCAAAGTTTATAACATATTTAATACCATCCACATCTGTAATTATATAAAAGCATATAAAAACTTGTCCACTTGAAGCATTCTGTTAAAGTATGTCATTTAATATAACAACTTATTAATTTACTAATTGTAACTCACAGCAGCATTACTTACATGAATGAGTTACACACAACAATTTAAAGACAACATTTGCCTCTCACTGAGTAAACCCTGGAGTCTTGTTAAGGGCACAACACAAAATCTTTAGACGACATTTTCATTATCTACTTGAATAATTGCCCCTTCCAAACTCCATTGTGGCCGAAAGAGAAAACCCTTGACCTCTTGCTTATTTCAACCTGTGGTCAAGTTTTTCAACGATGCACCATAAAGTTTTGAAAACTGATTATGTATTAAGGAATATCAACAAATATGAAGTGCATCACCAGGTTTTCCTTTACTCTCAAGTGTATCCATATTCACGGACATACCATCAAGTTTCCGGCCTCGGGTCCAATCATAGTGAAAGGCACTATTGAGGCACCATATAAACGACGAGTTATTGCATTCTGTAGTAAAACTACTACTGCATCAGAACTAAGTCATCTACAAATCCAGTGCAGTATCTTGAACACTAATTTTGGACAGTATTCAGATAGAACACAATAACTTTCCGCCAGTGCCTCTGAAAGTACAAAGAATCAATAATGAATAAAATATCTTAAAATCATACAATCTATAAATCATTCCAAAAAATTTAATATAAAAAATGCATTAAATAAGTAATTTCTCACCAAGTCCTCTAGCTGCAACATCAGTTGCAACAAGAATGCTGGCACGCCCTTGTTTAAACTGATAAAGAACATCATCTCTTTCTTGTTGTGTTTTGTCACCATGCATGCACACAGCTGGCCAGCCAAACCGTCGAATATTCCTAGTTATATTTTCCACTTTTCTTTTAGTTTCAACAAATATTATTGTTTTTGCACCAGGCTCCTGGTTTTGTCCAATTTCTTGTAGCAATTCATTCAACCTAAAAACAATGTAAAAATTAAAGCAGAATTGCAGTATAAAATTTAGGAGATAACTTAATTTTATTGATCAGATCTTCTTAGAGGACTTCCTAAAAGTTTAATCAAAGCTATATCATACTATTGTTGGAATCATCACTAAATAAAAAAAAATATATATGTGAATGTAAAAAAAAGAACATACTTGTTTTCTTTCTCATGTTCCTGGCAAATATCTATAATCTGTAGAATATTATGATTAGCTGAAAGTTGAAGTGATCCAATATTGATTTGTAAATAGTCACCCAAATAATCTTCAGCTAATTTTTTTACTTCTTTGGGCCATGTCGCTGACCACATCAAAGTTTGGCGGTCAGGACGAATTTGTTCAATAATCTTACGAATTTGGGGCTCAAAACCCATGTCCAACATTCTGTCAGCCTCATCTAAAACTAGGTAAGTACACCGTTGTAAATTTGTAGTTCCTCTCTCTAAGAAATCAATGAGTCTGCCGGGTGTTGCTATCACAATTTCTACTCCTCTTTCCAAATCACGAGCTTGTTCTCTTTTGGGGGCGCCGCCAAATACACATGTGTTGCGAACATAAGCTGTATTACCAAAGTCACTAGCAACTTGTTGAATCTGTTGAGCTAGTTCTCTAGTTGGTGCAAGTACTAGTGCAATAGGGCCATCTCCACGTCTAATAGGTGGCTGGTTATTTATATGCACAATAGCTGGCAAAATGTATGCCAAAGTTTTTCCTGATCCTGTCTGAGCTATACCAACTAAATTTTTCCCTGACATAGCTATAGGCCAACCTTGTGCTTGTATAGGTGTGGGTTCTTTGTAGCCCATGTTCCGAATATTTTGCATCACATAGTCGGGAAAATTACCTTCTTCAAAACGCTGAATAGGATTTGGTACTTCCAGTCCACTTACAGTGATCTCATGTTTATTCCTGTATTCTTCAACTTCATAAGGTGACCTTTTTAGTACTTCCGGTGGTGGATTATAGAAGTTTTTATTAAATGGTTGTAAAGACATTGTATCCCAGTTAGGTCGACGCATGTTTTGTCCACCAGAAAATTCTTTCTTGCCTCCACCAAAACCACCTGAACTTCCTCCAAATCTTCCTCCACCACCGTCACCGAATTTATTACCAAATTTGGAACCGCCGCTTCCACCGCGACTATTATTCCAGTTTCCAGACCTGTCAGATATATTTATATTAATTAGCACAGACAAGATATAATAACTATTACAATATAAAATCTAAATTAACTTTATTAACAATTACAAAAAAAACAACGCTAGCAAATATGGTGGGTAAATTAATTCCATAAAGTCCTAATCATTGTAAAAAAATAAGTGGCATTATCATCATCATAATAGTAATAATACTGGATATAAATTTGGGAATTGAATAGAAGTATTTCTTTCCAAGTAG